AGCTTCTTGTGGGTACACAGTCCTTCTTGGGAACAGGGGCTTGCACTAGAGAAAAGTGAATAGATGTGGGAGTTTGTGTTTGAAAACAAAACTGCCTTGTGAGAGATTAATGACTCACACGTTGACTGTGACATAAGCAGCTTTCTGTCCACTTTATAGAAGTTGCTTTGAAAGATGTTGCTTTTCTTGTAAGCAGAGAAAATTGCCCCTGGTTTAAATAAAGCTACAGGAGCCTTGATTTCTGCTGTATCTGGACATCTGGGCTTAACTGCCTTTTCCTCCAAATGTGATTTTACCTCATGTGATTCCCCCCTGTTGAATCTGTGAGTTTTTTTTGGGGGGGGGGTATTCTACAGCTTCCTCTCCTCTGTCCTTATGTCTCTTTTTACAAACAGGAGCTTCTAAACACACACACACACACACACACACACACACACGAGAGAGAGAGAGAGAGAGAGAGAGAGAGAGAGAGAGAGAGAGAGAGAGGAATCTGGCTTAGACAACTGATTTGGAACATCATGAAAAAGCAACACATTATTATTTAATTTATTATTAGTGTAGTCTCATAGACAGGCAAGGGAGAGGGGCTTGAGAGCTTTTCTGCCTCAGGTACCAAAATAACTTGACCAGCCTTAAAAGCTGCTATGCACCTTGGCTGGGGTTTGGGGCAGAGATCGTGTTTGCTGCTAGCCCTGGACAGGGCCTTAGAGAACTATGGGGTAGGAAAAGGTAGCTGAGATGGTATAGGAAATTATGTGGGGTAGGGAAAAAACTGGGCGGTACCATGCTGTGAATCAGGAAATATGTTCAGGCTTACATCATACTTGCAGTGTAGTTTTAATTTTTTTACATACATACGTTACTGAGTTCAATGGGATTTACTCCCAAGATTGGGCTATGTAGGATTAGGATCTTAGTCCTAAGTAAACACGCTCAGAGGTGCAATTTCCCTTATCCATCTGGAAGATGATTCCAGCTTCTAGAATCTAGGGATTGATAACTGATAATTTAAAAAACTGCATGCTAGTCCATGGGGTGTGAAGAACCTAGAATGCAGTTGGGGAACACCTTTATTAGGAATATTGGTTGATCCAATATGCATTTTGATATTTTAATGAACTGTATGAGGTTGAGATTGTAGAAATTAACAAGGCACCACTTGGCATTGATTTTTGGATTTCCAGAAGTTAGGACCCAGGAACTCTTTTAGTTACACACACACACACACACACACACACACACACACGTACGTGTGTGTGTGCGCAAATCCTGGGAACTACCAACACTGTTTGAGCTAAAATGAAGAGTCAGTCATCTTTATTGGTGACTCTTTCAGCCTTGCCTAATCCAGGAACCAGGTCTCCGTCTGGTGTTCTTATGCTGTTAGTAATGGGGAGACAGACTCTGGTAATTGTTTATGCTTACAGCCTGGAAGCATGAGCTATTATAGTTCATAATACATGGTCACACTCCCCCATTGCTTGTGTGTCATGTTCAATTTGCAATTAATCAGTAAATAGCATCCTGCTCTTTGCTGGTCCTACTCCATCCTCTCCATTTGGATTTAGGCCTACAAGACCCAGGAAAATAGAGGGTAAGATTCAAGCAAGCGAAGTTTAGCATGGTTTTGTACAGCTTGCCATGGAAAACACATATTTTTTCACATATATTTGCATGTGTAAATTATACACAAATGTGTGTGGGCCTGAACTCTGGATCTTTTTGATACCTGGCATGGCCCCTGGGTGGCACCATATACCCCCCACTGAACATGGGTTTTCATATGCTGTTCTCTGCATGCACAACTCAGACTAAATTGTGCTCATACTGCGGAAGATCAAAGTGTTCTGTTCCAACCACTGCAATGCCAGGACTAGTGCAGCTGAAGGAAAAGCAGGCCAAATATTAGGAATCTTTTAAAACGATACCTTTCTGCCCTCTTCCGGATCAGCACGTGAGTCATTTAGCTTGCCAGCTGCTTCAGCACTGCCAAAAAAAGGGTCAGCTATTGCCACAATAAAAGCTTTCCCACGCAGCTCTCCCCAGCTGGGGTCAAGACTCACCAGGAACTATGTATGGGCAGGAGAGCAGCTTGGGGTAAGGAAGTTGCATGGGACCAGTAACAGCTTGTAGTGGGTACCTTAAGGATCCTGTCCTACATCATCGCTCTATTGCAAAAGTGTGTTCGCCTAGTAAAAGAGGCTGACACTTTATTACATGTACCAGTATATTAACATGAGGTGCCACTCCTTGAGTGTCTTCCTGAAGATGCTTTTCAATTCAAACTCTACTCTGGATTAGTGGCAGTGCCTCAATACAGCAGTTGTTGTATAGGAATATGGGTCTCCTTTACCTTTAAGATCTGATGCTCTCCTACAATAGCTGATGGTGTGATGATAAAGCTGTTCCTTCACACATACGATGTGGAACTTGCTACATATTGCAGATAATAGTTAATGGCAAGGCTAAGCAGCATTTTATGCTTAGCTTGATGTAATGATACTTGGTTCATAGCAAAGTCGTGAATTACAAATGAGCAAGAACTATGAAAACTTACCTCTTTGCTACCAGCTTTTTTCATTTTAGTTTGCATTTCAGTGATTAAGGATGTGTTTGCTGTAGCTATATGCACCAAAAACTAAACTCAGTAAAATATTACTTTCAAACTCTGGTTGTGTAAATGTGGGGTTATTTTTCATTAAAGTAGCAAGGGGAAGGACTTACAGGGCAAATATTGAAGCCCGGGATTCCCAATTGCCTGCTGCAGGGTTTTGTGTTACTGTTAGTTTTAGGGTTCAGGGTGCTGTCCATATTCATGTTGCATTTTGTATAAATAGAACATCTTGTATTTGATGTAAATACCATTTAAATTATTCTTTTCCTCCAACAGTTTTGGATTTTAAACATCTCAATTCAAATAAAAGGAAATGCACTTTGAAAGTTATAATTCTGATCAGTATAAATAAAAATTCTTAACAACAAATTTCAACTTGAAAAGTATAACCCCCCCCTTTTAATTTTATAAATGGTTGAATTCCAGTGAATATCAGCTTCAGTAGAAAGATTCAATAAAGATGAATTGCAGATAGAATTTCTGAGGGAAAATAAGTTGCTTCTATGTAGCAACACATTGTTTCCATTGTGTTTAGGGACTATATTTGCTTTACATACCCAGTGGATAAAAGTAAATATTACACAGTTTGAACAGCATCTCTTTTTATAGCTATTGAGCAATTCCAAGAAAATAATTGGTGTTATATAGGAGTGTGTTCTGCATCTAGCTAAGTGTTAAGTAAAATGGACCAACTGATTGCTACTGCATACTCTGAACTTACAGTATCTTAAAGCTGTGCAGGAAGCCTCCAATGTTCAGTTTATTAATGAGAAAATATTTAGGCAAAACAGAACAAGCAACATCCCATTTAATTCAATCTGCTGGACTGGATGGACCATTGGTCAGATCCAGCATGGCTTTTCTAATGTTCTTAAATATGGCCATATAATGTAACAAAACTGCATGCAAAATATGATGATGCAGCTATAAATAGATCAATTTAGAGGCGGGATCTTGGTGATCTACCTTCTGCCTGTTCAATATACAGTGAATGATGTCATAACCTGGGTGGAGACCATCATTTGCAGGTTTGCTTCCCAGTATTTCAAGTGTCAAGCCAGCAAAACATATTCTTCCAGGTTGCAATCCCACAAATGTTTAGACATGCAGGCTGGCTGGAAAATTCTGGAGTCTGTATTGTGTTTTGCTGTCTAAACAGACACAGAACTTCATCCTTAAGAAAGGTGGGATCTTCTGCTAGTCAGAGTTGGTAGTACTGATTACAGTAAAAGTTACCTGTCCAGAGGTTACTAGATTAGTGCAAATTATATATTCCACGGCTGCTGCCAAGCAACATGCTATTTTCTAGGAATCCTACCGAAAGGGAAAATACAGGCAACATTTCAATGTCCTGTGCCTAATTTGTATTAGAAGACATCAATCTCTAGGCCAGTGATGGTGAACCTTTTAGAGACCGAGTGCCCAAACTGCAACCCAAAACCCACTTATTTCTCGCAAAATGCCAAACTGCAATAAAACCTGAAAACTGAGGTTTTAGTTTAGAAAAAACAACTCACAGCCAGTCCAAGGAAAATCTCTCTCTCTCTCTCTCTCTCTCTCTCTCTCTCCCCTTGTCAGCGCACTGACCGGCCATGAGAAAGCTCAGATGAGTCACGGCTAATGAGTCGCGGCTTGTGACGTCACTGCCTGGCGCTGCTCCTACTTTCTGAGCATGTGCATGGCCCCTACATGCACTGTTATCCGATGCATGGCTGCTGGGGCGATGCTGGGGTGACTTGGGTCACGTGCCGACAGAGAGGGTTGTGTGTGGCCGCTGTGACACATGTGCCATAGGTTCGCCACCATTGCTCTAAACCAGGGGTCTCAAGCTCACGGCCCGCGGGCCAATTGTGGCCCGCGGGATGATATTTTGTGGCCCCCCACTTGATACCAAAGTTTAGTGATAGTGCGGCCCGCACGTTTTTCCCACACGCACCGGCTGAGTCGTTGCCCTGAGCGCAGTGTCCCCTCGAAGCTGCGCGCCGGGCCAGGCGGGGCGCGGGGGAGGGGCCCTGCGGCCTTCAAGCGCCGGCCTCCGGGAGCCACGCGGGACGAGCGGCCCACCACCACCGCTTGATGCGGCCCAGCCTCACCCAGACTCTACTTCCAGCGGCCCCCAGGGAAGTTGAGTTGGAGACCCCTGCTCTAGACCATCCAGGAATCTTATGTCAAAAGCTCTAATCTAGAAAAATCTTAAAAGTCTTGCTGAATTCTCCAGGATTAGTGAACTGCAACCCCTTATTTAAAACTCACTTATCTCAGCAGGACCAGAGTGGAACTTTCTTTGTGTCAGGACCACTGTCGTTTATAAGTAGAGACATCAATACCACTCTCTGAGTTTTAGCTTACTATAGTATGCAAGTACAATTATATGTCAATGACTATGTATTTTAAACAATATTTTATTACAAAGAGCAGAAAAAATGCCAATTCTTTTCACTGTGTCTGGTTTCCTACAGCCATCAACATACAAATTAAGATGAAAAACTATACCGGGAACATCAGCTAATATTGATCTAGCACACTGTACTGATGCATTTAGAAAAGTCTGGAAAAGGCACTTTCAAAGTTCACAATACAAAACTAAATACAGGAAATGTATAATGTAAAGCTTAAATTCTATTTCCCTTCTTCAGTAAAAAAAGTAGTAATGAAAGTGACATGCACCACATTAATTAAAAGTCTCTCATTGGCCGGAATACTTTCCCCATATAGTGACACAAATGCTATTAATTTCAACAGAGCTCACGCGTTACAGTGGAGTTGCCAACAGAGAAATCTCTCTCATACATAAGCAAATACTGTCAGATTAATTCTATTGTTATTGTGCATAAAATCACATGATTGCATGAACCAGCATTTCACGTGTCACAATGAAGCAGGAATTACTCAAGATGTATGATTTTTAATAGATGCAATTGTTTTAACATCTTCTGTCTAGTACTGGAGATAAAGGAATCATAAAGGCTTTAAAGACACCATGCTGTTTCAGAGAGCCACAGTATAGCGATAAAAGTAGGCAGAGCTATAATTTGAGATGCAGTGACTTTATGTGGAAATATGCACATGGGTTCAGTCATGTTGGCAGAATGCAGGTCTGGCTAATGTTTGCCCCATTACATTTTGAAACTGCATGTGAGAGAAAAATGTCCTATGTTAATAGTAATCAGAAGCATTTATGTAGACTGTAAAGTCAAATCAGATACTGCATCTTTATAAAGACAGAGGGATCTATCCCTATATAATAGATTTTACAGCATAATCCTATACATATCTGCTCAGAAGTAATCTCCACTAAATTAAATCAGGCTTGTACCCAGGAAAGTGTGAACTGTGGCCTTGGTCATTATATAAGTAATTTCTTGAATAGGAAAATATAACAGAAATTACAAACAGGCAAGAAAGCATCGGGCAATTACTTTTCCGACCAAAAGATTAATTCTTTTCAAATGGCAACAAGAAGCCAAGCATTGCACAACATTGCCATGGCATAACAAAATAGCTCCTCCTGACAGCCAGCCCAAGATGCTGAGTGCTGACAAGACTGCAGCCAAATCAGGGCTGCTGGGAGGTGAAGCGGGGTGATCACTACGCTTGGGAATGCCCCACGGAGTGCAGAAATAAAGCCTTAATAATGGCAAGAGTGCAAGGCCATGAAAACCACACAGGGAATGTTGATATGGAAAACAAAAACAAGTGGAAAGTCAGAGTGGCAGATGCAGGAAGTAAACATCCCTATTTCAGTTCCTTTTGCCTTGTAGCATCTTGGAAGAGGGCGTGGCTGGTTCATTAGAACCCTAAACCAGAATATTCCTGTTAGGGTGTAAGAATAATATTACATCAATGAATGGTAAGTTATACCTCACTCTTCTACAAAAAGCTTCCAATACCCTGGAATACCAAAGCTTTGTTGCCTGTTCTCCTTGTTGAGATTATTAATAATCTCAAACAACCAATCTTATGCAGAGCCATCTTAGATACCAAGAACTATCTTGGGTATACCATTTCCATGACTGAAATTAAGACTAGGAAAGGTTATAGTGAAGCAAATTAATTATGTGTTTGCTGACATATTAACATGTATACTATTTCTTGCTAAAAACAGAACAGCCATTCTACCATTGATTATTTTCCTTGCTTGTGAAAATGCAATACCTCATGGTTGTTTTTACTGAAATATACCTCTTGCTTTCTAAACAGTAATAATTACTGGTCACATTATTGGAGTGCATACTTGTTTGTCTCATCACAGCCACTCTTTTCTGCTAGACTTCAGAATATTGTACAATATAGCCTAGATTCCTGTGCTTGAGCAATCTCTCCAGCATTTACATCTTTTTCTTTTCTAAAACCTTCAACTATTTTAATGGATCAAATCCACAGGTAGGTTCATCTTTTCTTGTGGCATTCAATTTTTTGGGGGTCCTTCCCCCTCTCCCTACCTACTCTTACAGAACTATTTTCAGAAAATGCACCAGAAAACGGATTTGAAGAGGTTTCTGCATAGATGCACAACAGTCAGTCCATTTAGTATGAAGGCTTTGGAGGATCCATATATGCTGGGTTGTAAGGTGGCTGAGTTACAGGAGCTCCAGCATCAGCTGCAAAACAAAAAAAAGGGTTTTAATATGTAATTATCTTTCTGGGCTGATTTTATACTGTTCTTTCTTGCAAGTTTCTAAGGTTCTTCATTAATTCTCAGATAATATGCTTATTTATAAGCTCAAAGGCCATTTCCCAATTGATATGCAAACTCTTCAGATAGCATTGAGAAGCATCACTTCAAGGCTTTATCTCAAAAGAAATAAACTAAGTATTCCTTCTTTCAAGAGCTGCAACACACACTCTGAACAGAGCATCTTAAACAAAAAGATTTAAAAGACAGAGGAAGAGTCTACGCTATTTCTCTGGGAAGCCATTCTAATGGGACCAAACTCATGCTCTCATTATATAATTTGAAGGGAAGCCCAATACCTAGTACCACTCCTGCTTGCTGCTCACAAAGAGACTGTATTCCTGATAGGCTGTATAAGCTGGTGGGTAGGGCTGAGCCTTCATCATTGAGCACCTCAATCTGAACATACACCTGCTAGGTGATGGACTGGTACATCTTGTGCCAGAGTTACATTATGCAGATGCCTCTGCTCTGCTGATACCACACACCAGTGCAATGGGCAGAAATAGGCAGAGCTGGAGATGCAGGCTTTGACTGGAATCCCATAACACTGCTTAGGTTGACAATAACATTATGAGAGGAAAAGAAAAAAATGTCATTGGAAAGCCTTCTCGTGGAAGTCCATGGAGTGCTTCAGATAACGGCATCACCTCCATCCCAGCAAAACACACTGGAGGGATAGAATCGCAACTACTCCTGTATTCTATCACTGCACAGCACAAGCAGTAAGTAAACTACACCTGCACCTGACTGCAGATCCCAAATATTAGTAGGTACAGCACGAGGCTACTTCATGGTCTTTGTGTCTAGACATGCTGGGACTGGGAAGGAGACATTAGTAAATGGCACTTGGCAGAAACAGCTAAAGAGAAAAAACAGGAAGAGCAGATCAACAATTTGGGGCAGTGTCTCCCAGCCAGGAGATACACAGAAGTATGCCATAAGTTCTCCATTCCCAAAAGCTGTCTAATTACCCCAGTGGGAAAATTAATAATGAAGACCCTGTCTCTTCCTCAATGTTTATTCTTCATATTTATTTATTTAAAACTTTTTTAGACCATCCCTTACCGTAGCCTCAAGATGGTTTAACAGTAAGGAAACACATATGGAAGCACTCTAATTAAAAAAGGAACCTGAGCAAACTATTTTGTTCTCTGAATTCATTTCCAAAAGGAAGACTAATTAAGTGCCAGGAAAAACTGTTTATGTGAATTGCAGCCATCAAGCATATTTCCTAATTCTTCTAAGCATTTTATAGCAAGAAAACGAATGGATTCAGATCTCCTCTTCAAGTCTACCTACCTGCCATTGTTTCGTGGTAGGCTGGCGGTGCTGCAGGTTGCATAGGATAAGGCGGAGGATACTGCACGGGGTAGGGGGCTCCTGGCATTCCCGGCTGTGGCTGCACTGGCACCGGATTATAACCCTGGTATACCCCAGCGGGGTAAGCGGCTGCAGGCTGCTGAGGATATGGCACCTGTACAACTGTGGTGGCTGTAGTTGTTGTCACAACAGCTGTGAAGCACAGAATAGAGTTGGGGTAAGCAAATCAGTGCAGAAGACACATCATGGGGACTGCTCACCACCCTTTGCTCCTTCTTTCACAAACTTATCTAAGGCCCATTGGATTGCATATGCTTCTGAAGAGCTCATCAAGCCAACTGTTCTGCATTGTTCACCTTCAAGGGAACCAAAATTCTATTTTTCATGTCAAAAGGCACTGAAGCACCAACCTTTTATCTATGTGATCCACACAGAAATATAGGTATACGGGAATAACTTATCAGCAGGTGTTTATTAAATAACATTGACTTCTGCAGAAGCTCTTATTGTTAATAAAAACTCCAATTTTAGAAAGGTATATAACTCATAATGTAACACCCATGTATATAATTGAACATCTTTGGAGATGATAAAGCTTAAAAGCTGTTCTCCTGTCCATGCAGAATTGAGCTCACTGAACAAGTTACATTTTGCTCCCTTATTTATAATCTTGCCTTTCCATTCATGGTATGAAGAAGTAGCTAACAATGTGATATTGCTACCTGGTTTAAATGCTCCATTTGCCGAGTTTTTCTTAAATGTTAGACTCGTCTTCCTGAAATCTACATCTACATTCCATCACACAACAGTATAAAAAGGGATTCTAAAAGGGCGTTTTGCCTTGAAGGATTTCTCTTCCTACTCCTCTGACGACAGTACTTGCACTCATCTTTTCACTAGGATAAACGAACTATGGTTGATGCTTACGCCGCGGCTGTCTTCGGCACGCTTTGTACAGGCAGCAACACGAGCAGGTGAAGCAGACAATGATCGTCACTATGAACAGGATGAAAAGTGAGACTCCGATCGCTATAATAGTCCCACTGAAAGAGAAACACACATTCGAATGTCACGTTCTGAATGCTGTAAAATATTGCATGGACCTCACAAGAGGCACTGCTTGGAGAGCCCTCACCTGCTGAAGGACGAGCGGCGGCATCTAGTTCTAGAGGTCTACTTGGAACCTATTCTGTTATCCATTTGGTGCGGATAAAAGCATTTCTACTCTCTCAGGCCTTTGAATCTTCCATATTTCTACGATTAAGATGCATTTTGAGGTTTTTAAAATCTCTGATACTTTTAATTCTTCTTTTAGTCTGCACCTTCTTTTGGGATGACTGGTTGTCCTGGCATGGAGGTGCAATCAAGCAAGTTTTGCTTTCAGTTTGCCTAGATCACTTGACTTCCCAACACTATCAACATTTGTATCAGTCACCTAACTTCCTGATTCCAGTACATTATTTACAGCACATGCAAACCTACATTTGCTGGGAGCAAGCCTTTAGATATGCCTTTTCTGGAACAGGACTTATCAAGAACGCAATACATTCACTACACTGACTCTGCAACCACTACTGCAATTTCATATTTATTTACTACTAGCCATGTGCCAACCCTTGTTTACATTTAGCATAGTTTTGCCCAGAGAACATAAAGCTAGGTCCGGGGTGTAGGGAAACAGGGATGGGACGTGGGAGACTCAGATGGCAATGGTAGCAACAGGTACGCTGATTTCCGGATGGCCTAGCCAACCACAGAGCAGTCACCCTAGAGAGCTTCTCTGACACGAATGTGTCAAACGAGAGGAGCTCTCACATTTAATTTATACAGTAAGAGGCATTCCTTTTGATTAGCACTCATCAACCTATTGTTTTATTGGTCTTTAATTACAGGTTTTGTGGAATCGTTTTAGTTGCCGAGGCCTGAAAATCTAGGCAAAGTACTTGCAGGAATGTGAGCAACCAGGTGCCCGCTCGCCTTTGCCCCAACAGCCACCTGGTCATACGCTCCACTAATGCAGCCTGCATGACTGGGTGGCTCCAGGGTGTAGGAAGTGCATCGTTCCTGGAAGACGGGCTTCCCGCTGACTTTAAAAAGTCATGAAATCATTCCTGAGGGAACAAACTTTGGGCCTAATACTAATACCTCATCATATTTGGCAATTACTACCTTGGTTAAGGAAGGTATTTCAGAGGGTCAAGAAAGAACAACTACAAGCACCCTTGGAAGATAATAATAATAATAATAATTATTATTATTATTATTATTATTATTATTAGAACATTTCTATGCTGCCCCTTGCCGAAGCCTCGGGGTGGCTTACAACACAATACAATACAATACAATACAAAAATAACAATATAAAATTAAAATTAATAATATAAAATAAATAAAAAATATAAACGATATAAAAGAAGTTAAAAGAAAAGAAAAGAAGTCGCCCTGGCCAGATAAATAAGTAAATATTGTTAACAATTAAAATGACGTTTAAATAAAAAGGTCTTCACCTGGCGCCGAAAAACAAATAACGACGGCGCCAGTCCCCAAACTTTTTCAAGAGGGGGCCAGTTGAAAGGTGGCGGGGGGCCAGTGGAGGTGGGGCCTGGGCGCGTGGGCTGGTGAGGCATCGTCGGGCATGTGTGAGGCGGCTTTGGGATCGCGCAACGGCTTCCTTGCTCGGAGATCTCCGAGTGAGCAAGCCACCGCCTCCCCACCCGCACTGCAAGGTGGAGGCAGGTGGCGACTCGCTCGCTCAGAGATCTCCCAAGGAGTCCAAAACCATCGCCGAGTGAGCAAGCCACCACCTTCCACCCATGCAGTGAGGCAGCAGTGTGTGTGCGCACAGGCGGCGGGGCGGGCCGCATAAATGTGCGTGGCAGGCTGGATCCGTCCTGCGGGCCGTAGTTTGAGGACCCATGATCTAAACCCACTGCAACCTGAATGTTGTGCCGGTTATGGGACAGAATCATACTTGATCACACTGATCAATGACCTTCATCTGGACAGGGGAAGTACAACCTTCTTAATCCTGCTTGATCTCTTATTGCCTTTTAATACCATCAACCACAGTATTCCCCTGGATCACTCCACGGGCTGGGCACTGGAAACACTCTGTTACAGTAGTTCCAGCCCTACCTGTGTTGTTTTCCCAAAGCAGCATTAGGTGATCACTCTTTATGCCCTTAGCGATTCCACTATATGGTTCTGCAGGGTACTACCTTGCCTGCAATGATATTTAACTTCTATATGAAGCTGCTGAAAGGGGAGGACTTGGCGCTGATAACACACAGCTCTATCCCTGATGACATCTGAATCAGCTGAGGTTGTGTAAGTCCTGATCAATGCCTGGACTCAGTGCTGGGCTGGATGAGGACCTATAGACTGAAGCGGAGTGCTGGCAAGATGGAAGCCCAGTGGGCAAGTGATTGCTGAGTCTGGAAGACAGGCACATGCCTTATTTGGGATGCCGATATAGTCCCTAGTTCCACAGCTGTCACCAGCGTCCTTAGTGACCATGGTGGCTTGTAGTGCCTTTTACCAGCTTTGGTTAGTCTATCAGTTATGGCCTCTCCTGGGCCGGGATAATGTGGCCAATGTGATACAGGCACTGATAACCTCAAAACTGGATTATGGCAATATGTTCTATACAGGACTGCTCCAGAAGGCTACTTAAGGTGGCTCCAGAAGATGGACTCAGATTTCTAGTCCCTGCTTGGCCATAGTGCCAACTGGGTGACTTTGGGCCAGTCAAACACTCCCAGCTTAGCCTACCTCATAGGGTTGTTGTTGTGGGGATTAGAATGAGAACAGGAGGAGGAGAATGATGTAAGCTACTTTGAGTTTATTATAAGAAAAAATCTAATAAAGTAAATAAATAAACCTGCCCAAACAACTGTAAGGCAGCAACAGTCTGAACTCGAACACACTGCTAAATTCCTTTGAACCCAGTTTCAGTGCCAACAGAAACCTATTTCACAGAAGGCAAACCCTTTTCTCCCCTGCCCTGCCACTGTTCTGCCCAACCAACTCATTCCTTCTGCTTCTCTGTCTGTCGCGCAAGTGCCACTCATAGAAGCAGGGTCACTCCTTTGCAAATACAGGCGTACCCCCTGGATCCATCACGAGCGCCTGCATGATTCTCCCCTTCACTGCAAGCACACAGTAAACCTCACTCACTTTTTCAGAACTCCTCCAGCATCCTCTTCCCACACAGTCTCTCTTGGGTTGCTCCTAGCTGACCCTCTGCCCGTTTCCCCCACACTCTCCTTACCGATTCCTGCTGGCTTCTGATTGCCCTTCCAAGCTACCATTTCTTTTAATGCACCCCCACCTTTCCAGACAAAATAAATGGGAATTCACTTTTCTAAAGCTCTTGTTTGCCTTGGAAGAGGGTATTCCCCAATGGCATCTTCCAAAGGCTCCTCTGCTTTTTGGTAAGTACATTTCTATACATATTTTCTACACACATTGTAGAATTTTGCATGCTCATTTCCTGTTGCACTTGTTGAAAAACGACCTCACCTTTCCTTTGTTTTTTGCTGCTGCCCCAAAGAGAGCACATGCCCTGCCATTCTTCTCTAAAACTTGGACACAAATCAAATCCTTCCCCACAGTGTTCTTCACAGCCCAGTTCCTAAGTTTGCTTGTTCTTTTTCTGCCAGTTCTCACTGCATACAGCAGAGTGTTTGGTGAAAGGTTCTTTGGTTCCAGAAACACCATCATCCTGGCTATAGAGTTCAATTAAAAATGGAGATACTGGTGTATTTCCTGAAATACCATGAAATGTACAAGACCTGACTAATAAATTTAATCAAAGCTGTGAAATACACCTATAGCAGACTTAGAGGTTCCCCCCCCACCCCCGCTGATAAAGAAAGCCAGTGTGGTGTAGTGGTTAAGAGTGAAGGACTGGGACACAGGAGATCTGAGTTCTAATCCTGACCTAGCCATGATGCTCACTGCATGACTTTGAGCCAGTCACAGACTCTCAGCCCAACCTGCCTCACAGGATTGTTTTACGATTGAGAGCAGAATTATGCAAGCGCCCTTGATTTCCTTGAAAGGCTAAAAAGGAAGGATACAAATATAACAAATAGAATACTATTATATGATATTGTTAACCCTCCTATGTCTGAGAAAAGCACGTTACTAATTCAGTTTAGCTCTGTACATCAGATCCCATTAAATTGCATTTAATGAGGTACATTCAACAATGGTGCCAACTTTAATGTGAAACATACCATTGCTTTATAGACTTTGTATCTAGTGCAGCCTAGCTAGATATGTCATATTAAGGACAACAGTGGAAGAATATCAGAAAGCTGTTAAAAGCTTTTGGCATAATACACCTGCTCTTAGTTGCTTCACTACCAAAGGATGAGTTAATATCTTTGCAATTGAATTTTGCAATATTTTGTAATCTAGCTATAGGTTGGTCGTACTGGTAAATCTCTGGTTGACTAAAGTACACAATATCCACTAAGATTTCTAACTTCCATTTTCACAAGGGCAACAACAAAATGGTTGCCCTCTGCTGTAAAGTATACTACTGAAATGAAGAAAGTTTATGGCAACCAGCAGTGGATTTTTGTGTGTAAAGGCTATGGACTCTATGAGTTCTGGTACTCAAAACAAATTCCTGGGCTCAGAATTCTAAGCGAACTTCTTTTGCAGCAGCCTGATATATAAAAAAACAAAGTTGTTTCCATAGGCCTGAAGCCTGCCCATTTCTGTATTAAATTGTCTGGTGCATCATATAGATCAATAACAAAAATAAACATTACGAGTTGTCACTTTAACCATCCACCCCATGTCTGAATTATATTTTAATTAGGCTGCAAGCCGATAAGCAGTCAGAATTAATTTCTGAATATGTTTTGATAGATTAAAAAGCATTAATCAAGCAAATAATACTTTTAAATTGGGAATTCTTAAAAAAAATTCCCGTAGCACCATTTTGGAAGAGATATTCTGCTTTCACTCTAAACCAGCACGAAACACTTCTGGGATGACACCTGTGGGAACATAAACAGGTACCATCTAA